AGAGGAGCTTGAAGACGTGGTTGTTCCAGTGTGCCTTCCCGGAATAATGATCCCATAGCACTTTGTCCTCCAAAGCACTTGATATTGTTTTAGGTCTGCTTGTATGTTTCCACAAACTGGCCCATCACTTTTTTCGCCCATGTCCAGCATTATTTTTGATTTTAATTACATTTGGCCTACCCATAGATTTTGAAGTGTGTTGTCCTATTTGATAATGCGTATGTTATTGTTTTATTGTTTTGTTGTTTTAAATTGCTTGTATTGTTGTTGTTATTACTTGTATTGATGTATTTTGGGCTCGGCCTCATGTAAGCCCCACCAAGTCCCTTGGGGAGATGGTAGCGGGGTATAAATAAAGTTTGTTGTATTGTTATTATTATTATTATTATTATTATTAAAGGTAAAGGTAGTCCTGACATTAAGTCCAGTCATGTCTGACTCTGGGACTCTGGCGCTCATCTCCATTTCTAAGCCGAAGAGCCAGCGTTGTCCGTAGACACCTCCAAGGTCATGTGGCCATAGGCATGACTGCATGGAGCGCCCTTACCTTCCCGCCGGAGCGGTACCTATTGATCTACTCAATAGGGCCTTCTCGGTGGTGGCTCCTCGGCTGTGGAACGCCCTTCCTGTAGACGTTAGGCTGGCACCATCTCTCATGACATTCCGTAGAAAGCTGAAGACCTGGATGTTTGTGCAGGCGTTTGAGTAATTCAGTGCAATTTTGGTAATTTGAACATAGGAACGGAACAATGGACGACGAATTTGGATCACGCTTGGATGATGAGGCGATCGGGGGATGGGATTTGTGATACCTGTGTATTGATGATTGTTTATTAGTTATTAAGGGAAATGTGTAATTTAACTGTTATTGTATATTAATTATTGCTGTTTTTATGGTCTTTGCTGTTTGGAAACCGCTGTGAGTCGCCCTCGGGCTTGAGATACAGCGGTATACAAGAATAGTAAATAAAAATAAATAAATAAATCACATTTGCATGTTTTCGAACTGATAGGTTGGCAGAAGCTAGGGCTGACAGCGGAAGCTCACGCCGCTCCCGGAATCGAACCTGCGACCTTTCGATCAACAAGCTCAGCAGCTCAGTGCTTTAACCCACTGCGCCACCGGGGGCTCCATTATTATTATTATTATTATTATTATTATTATTATTATTTCTCTATCTCTGCTGAAAATCTTCCCCTGGACAGAGGACAAGGAAGAAAAGGGGGAAATGAGCCAAGGGGAAAGAGGCTGGCAGGAAAAAGGCATTGGGGGTGTGCTTGTCTTTGCACCTCATCCTGGGCCCAGCCAAGGGAGTAAAGCAGAAGCTTATTTTGTGATCCTTCCCACAAGCCTGAATGTGAGTTTGAATTAGTCAGGTGGGGAGGCCGGGTCTTGGTTGGCGGCAGGATTCCTTTGGGAAAAGACGGGGAATTTGGGGGCAGCCGGCCTCTGATTTGGATGCTCAGGAAACAGACCTGGGGCCCACTGTGGGATGGGATGCAGCCCAGTAATCTTTGTCTCTAAAGCTTGTGTGCCAGCTGCGCCCATACCTTGGGAAGTCTGACTTGGCCACGGTAGTCCACGCTCTGGTTACATCCCGTCTAGACTACTGCAACGCTCTCTACGTGGGGTTGCCTTTGAAGACGGCCTGGAAGCTCCAATTAGTCCAACGCTCGGCAGCCATGATTCTAACAGGAGCAGAAAGCAGGGAGCATACAACCCCCCTGTTGCGCCAACTCCACTGGCTACCGATTTGCTACCAGGCTCAATTCAAAGTGCTGGCGTTGGCCTTTAAAGCCCTAAACGGTTCCGGCCCAAGCTACCTATCCGACCGCATCTCTGCCCATGAACCCACCAGGACTTTGAGATCTTCCGGGGAGGCCCTGCTCTCGATCCCGCCTGCTTCTCAAGCACGGCTGGCGGGGACGAGAGATAGGGCCTTCTCGGTGGTGGCTCCTCGGCTGTGGAACACCCTTCCTACGGACATTAGACTAGCACCATCTCTAATGGTATTCCGCAAAAAAGTGAAGACCTGGCTGTTTGAGCAGGCGTTCGAATAACTAGTGCAATGATTGGTAATGAACATAGGAATGGAACAATGGATGACGAATCTGGATTACGTTTTTGATGATGAGACGATAGTGAATGGTTATTGTCGTAATGGTTTATTAATTGTGTAAAGTGTTAGTTGTTAACTGTTTCTATACTGTAGCATTGAATTTTTGCTGTTCTTGTTTGTTGTGAACTGCTGTGAGTCGCCTTCGGGCTGAGAACAGCGGTATATAAGTAAATAAATAAATAAATAAATTTAGCACATATAATTCAGGGAAATCCATTGAATGGCACCCTTTAATATCAGGAAAAAACCTATATTCCTTTCTGCCTGCCTGCCGTCTTCCATTCCTTTAGCCACGTTTGTGTTTGGCCCAATGAAATTGGAATCCTTGAAAGATTTCCCCACTTTTCCATTCTTTTCTTCTTTCTGGAGTTATTCCCTTCTTTTTTAAGAATCAGTGATTACCTTTGCTGGTACAGTGTTACCTTGCTACTTCATGATTCGTTTTTTGCGGACTCGCTGTTTCCTGTTTTTTAAAAAAATACATGAATTTAAAATATACTGTATATTTGTCCTCTCCTAGGCAGAGAGCCTTCTCGATCGTGGCCCCTTATTTATGGAATGCCTTGCCAGTTGAAACTCAAACCATCCGAGACCTACTTGCTTTTCGGAAAGCCTGTAAAACTTTTCTTTTCCGGCAAGCTTTTGATGGGTGAACAACCCGGGCGATGCCTGTTCTCGCTGCCTATTGTTATTGTTGTGGTTATTTATAAAGTATTGCTTTGATCTATTTCTGTAAACCGCTCCGAGCCAAATTGGGAGTAGCGGTATACAAGTTAAATAAATAAATAAATAAGTAGTGAGGGAACACTGAACAGAAAGGCCCCACCAATGCGCTCTGGATGCAGATCTGGGAGACCTCGCAAGGCCGTGGTGGCGGTAGTGGCAGCAAAGGCTCAGCCTCCTCACCCTCTTTACCTTCTTCCTCCTCCTCCTTGGCACCTCCCTCCCCACCCATTGAGTGAGTGAGAGTAAGTGACGGAGACGGGCACCGTGTTGCCGCCTGGGCCTCTTGCCACCGCTTGGGCCCCACAATGCCTCTGCCTCCTCCTCGATTGCTCCAGAAGAGGATAGTCCCAGTAGAGGTGGCACCTCTTCTGGAGTGATTGAGGAGGCGGCGGAGGCGTCACAGGGCCCAAGCAGTGGCAAGAGTGACAATGAGGTGCCTCTCTCTCTCACTCATTCACACTCACTCAATTGGCGGGGGGAGGAGGAGGAGGAAGGTAAAGAGGGTGAGGAAGCTGAGCCTACTCTGCCACTGCTGCCGCCAACACCGGCCCGCCCTTGTGAGGCCCCCGTGGAGGAGGCATCTCTTCTGGAGTGATTGAGGAGGCGGCGGAGGCGTCATAGAATCAAAGAGTTGGAAGAGACCTCCTGGGCCATCATCCAGTCCAACCCCCTTCTGCCAAGAAGCAGGAATATTGCATTCAAATCACCCCTAACAAATGGCCATCCAGCCTCTGCTTAAAAGCTTCCAAAGAAGGAGCCTCCACCACACTCCTCCGGGGCAGAGAGTTCCACTGCTGAACAGCTCTCACAGTCAGGAAGTTCTGCCTCAAGTTCAGATGGAATCTCCTCTCTTGTAGTTTGAAGCCATTGTTCCCTTGCGTCCTAGTCTCCAGGGAAGCAGAAAGGAAGCTTGCTCCCTCCTCCCTCCCTGTGGCTTCCTCTCACATATTTATACATGGCTATCATATCTCCTCTCAGCCTTCTCTTCTTCAGGCTAAACATGCCCAGCTCCTTAAGCCGCTCCTCATAGGGCTTGTTCTCCAGACCCTTGATCATTTTAGTCGCCCTCCTCTGGACACATTCCAGCTTGTCAATATCTCTCTTGAATTGTGGTGCCCAGAATATGGACACAATATTCCAGGTGTGGTCTAACCAAAGCAGAATAGAGGGGGAGCATGACTTCCTTAGATCTAGACACTATGCTCTTATTGATGCAGGCCAAAATCCCATTGGCTTTTTTTGCCACCACATCACAGTGTTGGCTCATGTTTAACTTGTTGTCCACGAGGACTCCAAGATCTTTTTCACACGTACACTGCTCTCGAGCCAGGCATCATCCCCCATTCTGTATCTTTGCATTTCATTTTTTCTGCCAAAGTGGAGTATCTTGCATTTGTCACTGTTGAATTTCATTTTGTTAGTTTTGGCCCATCTCTCTAATCTGTCAAGATCGTTTTGAATTCTGCTCCTGTCCTCTGGACTATTGGCTATCCCTCCCAATTTGGTGTCGTCTGCAAACTTGATGATCATGCCTTCTAGCCCTTCATCTCAGTCATTAATAAAGATGTTGAACAGGGCCCAAACAGTGGCAAGAGGGCCAGGTGACGATGAGGTGCCTCTTTCTCTCACAGTCACTCTCACTCACTCAATCGGCTCTTCTTCCCTCCTTGTCCTCTTTACCTTCCTTCTCCTCATCGCCACTTGGGCCCCGCGATGCCTCCACCGCCTACTCAATCGCTCCAGAAGTGGTGCCTCCTCTGACGCTTTTGGAGCAGCATCAGCCGTGGCGCCCGGGCTGAGCCTGTTGGCAGGAAGGAAGGTACAGAGGAAGAGGAGGAAGGTAAATAGGGCGGGGAGGGGAGAAGACCCTCCCCCCGAAGGGGAGAAGAGCCGATTGAGTGAGTGAGAGTGAGGGAGTGAGAAAGAGAGAGGGGGGAGGGGGCCCTTTGTGGAATTTCACTTATGGGTGGTCCTGGAACGTAACACCTGCAATAAGTGAGGAAACACTGTATCTGTGTATGTGCTTGAGACTCTGATATCTGCATTTCTTGGTATTTCTATTTTCAACATGACCTATGGAAATCATGGGAAAATTCTGGAGGTGAAGAAAGTTTCTGGCTTTCATCCCTGATCTTTTGCTTCTTTCTTGACCAGGGAAATGAAGATTTTATGGAACCACCTCTGGGATACAGAAAGGAAAACAATAATATAGGAAGAGGAAATCATCTCAAGGTGATGATCTTGCTGAATTCTTGACTTCACTTACAAATAACAAAAGAAATAAGATTCAAGTATCTGTGTTGCAAATAATCATCCAGATCACTGTTGACATGAAGGAGAAAGCATCTGAATGCCTGGAGTGTGGAAAGAGCTTCTCTGACAGTGGAGATTTACATTTACACCAAAGTACTCACACTGGGGAGATGCTCTATACACGCTTGGAGTATGGAAAGAGCTTCACTGGCAGTGAAGGTTTGCACTTACATCAGAAAAGTCACACTGGGGAGAAACCCTATAAATGCCTGGAGTGTGGACAGAGCTACACTCATATTTCCCGTCTACGTTCACATCAAAGGATTCACACTGGGGAGAAACCCTATAAATGCCTGGAGTGTGGAATGAGCTTTGCTCAGAGTGGAAGCCTATGTTCACATCAAAGGACTCACACAGGAGAGAAACCTTATAAATGCCTGGAGTGTGGAAAGTGCTTCACTGAGAGTGGAAATCTGCATTTACATCAAAGGACCCACACTGGGGAGAAACCTTATGCATGCCTGGAGTGTGGAATGAACTTCACTCAGAGCGGAAGTCTACGTTCACATCTAAGGACTCACACTGGGGAGAAACCCTATAAATGCCAAGAGTGTGGAAAAAGCTTCACTCAGATTGCAAATCTACATTCACATCAAAGGACTCATACTGGGGAGAAACCTTATAAATGCCTGGAATGTGGGCAGAGCTTCTCTCATAGTTCACGTCTACGTTCACATCAAAGGATTCACACTGGGGAGAAACCCTATAAATGCCTGGAATGTGGGCAGAGTTTTGCTGAGACTGGAAGCCTACGTTCACATCAAAGGACTCACACCGGGGAGAAACCATTTAAATGTCTGGAGTGTGGAAAGAGATTCCCTCATAGTTCGGGTCTATATTCACATCAAAAGACTCACACAGGGGAGAAACCTTATAAATGCCTGGAGTGTGGAACGAGTTTCACTCAGAGGAATCATCTAGAGCAGCATGAAAGGACTCACACTGGGGAGAAACCCTATAAATGCATAGAGTGCGGACAGAGCTTCACTCACAGTGGAAGTCTACATAAACATCAGAGGACTCACACTGGGGAGAAACCCTATAAATGCCTTGAATGTGGAAAGAGTTTCATTCACAACGGAGATCTACGTGCACATCAAAGAACTCACACTGGGGAGAAACCTTACAAGTGTCTTAATTGTGGACAGAGTTTCACTCACAGTGGTAATCTACATAAACATCAAAGGACTCACACTGGAGAAAAACTCTATACATGCCTGGAGTGTGGACAGAGTTTCACTCATAGTTCACGTCTACGTTCACATCAAAGGACTCACACTGGAGAGAAACCCTATAAATGCCTGGAGTGTGGACAGAGCTTCACTAATTGTTCAAGTTTACGTTCACATCAAAGGACTCACACTGGAGAGAAACCCTATACATGCCTGGAGTGTGGACAGAGCTTCACTCAGAATGGAAGTCTACATAAACATCAAAGGACTCACACTGGGGAGAAACCCTACAAATGCCTGGAATGTGGACAGAGCTTCACATATAGTTCAAGTTTACATTCACATCAAAGGACTCACACTGGGGAGAAACTCTATAAATTTGTGTTGTATGGAAAGAGCTTTTCTGAAAGTTCAGATATGCATAGACATATTTTTGACATTGGAGAGAACAGTGGTATTTGACCCCAGAGAAATTCTCTCAGACAAGAGTTTTCCGAGCTTTTTTCTTTTTTGGTGACACACACTTTTTAGACATGCATCCATTTGGGGTATGGCAATTCAGTTTAACTAGCAAAACAGAGGTTAAACCAATCCCGTGTAAGATTTTCAGTATAAACAATATAATGTAATAATATAGATTAGTTTATTATAAACATTACTGTATAAACCATTCTTGTGTAGCGTCTTCCACAGCTGCTTCATTTTAAAATTACTTTTTAATTGGAAATGGAAGTTTCTGTATTCTGTCTGACATCCCAATTCCAATTTTTCCAATTGTGTAATTGTTTGTTAACCTTTTCCCATAATTGATTGTAGTTCAATTGTATTATGTTAGCTAGGGTTTTGGGGATATATAACCCCATTTTATCCCCAAACTGAATTATAATCCTTTAAACTCTACACACAAGGTTTTTGTGTAAGATTTCTGATTTTTGAATGTTTATGGCTAGCCCTGATAACTTTCAAATTTCTTTATAATGTTAGTTACTTTGGGTTGTTGACAGAGGCCCATGGCTCCTCTCTGCTTCCAAGGGCTCTTTGGGGTTCCCTATCTCTCAGGATGAGGTGAACATGGACCCAAGCAAAGCACACCGTCTACGGGAATGGGAACCCCATCGTACTAGGTGGCAGGTGCAGGGATGCCTTGGGTTTGCAAACTTTTAGAGAGCATGTATTAAAGAGTTTGTGAAAATAACCATGCCCCTCACAGACGTGTGAAAAACTGAATTATAATCTGGCAAGGAGGAGACAAATACAGTCAAAACTGCAGTTGAACTGGACTCCTGTGGAGATATTGGAGGAGGAGGAAGTGAAGGAGGAGGAGGAGGTGGTGGTGGAGGAGGAGATGGTGGTGGTGGTGGTGGAGGAGGTGGTGGTGGTGGAGGAGGTGGTGGTGGTGGAGGAGGTGGTGGTGGAGGAGGTGGTGGAGGAGTTTGCGAAAATAACCCTGCCCCTCACAGACGACTGAAAAACCAAAGGCAAGGAGGAGATGAATACAGTCAAAACTGCAGTTGAACTGGACTCCTATGGAGGTGGAGGAGGAAGTGGAAGTGGAGGAGGTGGAGGAGGTAAAGATGGAAGTGGAGGCAGAGGAAGTGGTGGAGGAAGTGGAGAAGGCGGTGGTGGAGGAGGAGGAGGTGGTGGAGGAGGAGGAGGTGGTGGAGGAGGAGGAGGAGGAGGAAGTGGTGGAGGAGGTGGAAATGGAGGAAGTGGAGTAGGGGGAGGTGGAGATGGAGGAAGTGGTGGAGGAGGAGATGGTGGTGGAGGGGGAGGAGGAAGTGCCCCCGCACCTCCATTCTTGGCGGGGGCCCCGGGTGCGGCCTGACTGGGTTCCCCGCGCATTTTGTGCCACGACTCTCTTGCGCCTCCATTTGGCGCCACCTTTGCGCTTCCATTCTTGGCAAAGGCCCCAGGAGCGGCCTGGCTGGGCTCCCCCGCGCGCCCACTGCTGCCTGAGTGAGCTTGGCTGAGAGAGCCTAACCATCACCGGGCGGCAGAAGAGAGAACTGGGAAGTGTTTCTGTGTAGGATTGCTGATAATGTGCAGGGCTGTTTTGTAGCCACGCCATCATCGTAACAACAGTGCAGTAACATCAATTAACAACATAGTGTGGTCGTTGGGCTCAAAAATAGGATTTAACATCGCATTACGGACACTTGAGCCTAAACGAAAATCCGGAAGCTCTGTCCGCTCATGACTCAGTGGGCAATCTCCAGAGCTCTGTGCCCAAAGAACTGGACACTCATTCATTCTATACTGCCCTCTGTGGTCAAGATAAAATGTGTAAATAACATCTTTCCATACAGCGTGCAATTTGCAAATCTGTGTTGCTAATTAACAATAACTGCAATTATTGTCTTTATTGTGCGGACTACCATCTGTTCCTGCTCTGTGTCATCTCCGCTCGTGACGGTCAAGAAGAACCGGGGACCTGGCCCGGGGTGCCGGCTTGTTTTCTCCACGGGCCCAAGGAGCCGGGTCTCTATGGCTTGGACTGGCTGTCCTAACTGAGTGGGTTGAAAGTCGATTTCTTCATAGAAGCCAGTAATTTTGCACTTTTTTGCACTATATAACTATTTCAGCACTAAAGCACTTTACCCTAAGCACTTTAGATCTTCCTGCCAGAACCCATACCATTACTAAGTGGTCCATAAGTATCAGGTCAAGTGGTTACGACTGTTGCACTTTATATTCTGAACTCTGAATTCCCGCACCGTCACTTTGGAGTTAATTTATATATACTGTTTAACCATCAGCACTTTACTCCTATGTCAATGTTTATACTACCCCTGCTGCTATTGATATTCTTTCAGTCTCCAGCACAAGTGCACTTTATAACAACTTTAGCACAAGTGCACTTTACAGCTTTTGCTATACTGGAAGGAGTAGGTAGTATCAAGGGGCGGGAATATTGGGATCCAGAGACAGGTAACCATAACTATAAGCAAGCGTCTATTATTGAGATAACAAGTGCTGGAAATGGAGGGAGCTTCCCCGGGGAGGGTGGGGCTGCGGGTGGGGGGGGGGGCGCCATAGAGGTGGTGACAGGTAAAGGGAGATACGGGAAAGGGAGAACAAAACACTCATTTTGGCCCAAAATTTACAATAACAAATTGGCAACCTCTAAAGATGGTAAGAATCAAAGACAAAATCAAATTCGGCCCAAAATTTTCAATAGGACATTGACAATTCAAAAAATTAATGCTACTATCCGGCCCGAAATTAACAAAAACAGATTGGCGATTCCAAAACTTTCTCCTGACAAAATACAACTGAGGTGCCAGGATGGTAGCCCCTCCAAGCTAAAGGTGGTGCTGCTCAATGCCAGGTCGGTAAATGGAAAAACTTCAATTATTCAAGATCTAATTCAAAAAGAACGTGCCGAGCTGGCTTGTATAACGGAGACCTGGTTGGACGAGGGGGGAGGGGGTCAATCTCTCCCAACTCTGTCCACCAGGTTATTCTGTTCAGCACCAACCAAGGCTTGGAGGGCGGGGAGGCGGAGTCGCAGTGGTCTACAAGGAGTTTATCCCCCTGATCAGGTGTCCCATCCCATAGTCATCTTTTGAATGTGCCGGCTTTAGGATAGGTGACTGGGACAGGATAGGGATTCTGTTAGTGTACCGACCACCCTGCTGCACTACAGTCTCCCTACCTGAGCTAGCAGGAGTGGTCTCGGACATGGCGTTGAGCTCCCAACGGCTTCTAGTCTTGGGAGATTTCAACATCCATGCCGAGGCCTCTCTTTCTGGTGCGGCTCAGAACTTCTTGGCCGCCATGGCAACCATGGGCCTGTCCCAGCTAATATCTGGTCCCACCCATAGTGCCAGGCACACCTTGGATTTGGTCTTTTCTCCGGGATGGGATGAGGGTGACGGGGTGGAGGAGCCGACCATCGCTCCATTGCCATGGACCGATCACCACCTGATCAGATTTAGACTAACTATGCCTTCTAACCTCCGCAGGAGTGGTGGACCCATTAGAATGGTCCGCCCCAGGAGACTTATGGATCCAAATGGTTTTCTGAAGGCTCTTGGGGATTTTTCCACCTCCTTGGCTGGCGACTCTGTCGATGCTCTGGTCTCTCGCTGGAATAGTGAGTTGACCAGGGCAATTGACACAATCGCTCCAAAACGCCCCCTCTCGAGTAACCGAGCTAAACCAGCCTCTTGGTTCACTGAGGAGCTGGCAGCGATGAAGCGAAAGAAGAGGAGGTTAGAGTGCGTGTGGCAACAGAATCCCACCAATCCAGCCCAAACACATCTGAATGCCTTTTTAAGGTCCTACGGTGTGGCAATAGCGGTGGCTCAGAAAACATTCATTATATTCAATATTGCATCCGCGAAGAATCGTCCAGCTGAGCTTTTCCGAGTTGTCAGGGGCCAGTTAAATCCGCCAAAAAGCGAAGCCTCGGATAACTTGGTGGCTCGCTGTGAAGCATTTGCTCGATCTTTTGTGGATAAAATTGAGTGGATTCGGTCGTGTGTTGACGTCATGTTAACGGCAGTCTTTGGGGATGTAACAAGAGCATCTGCTTGTCCAGTTTTGTTGGATTCTATTCAATTGGTTCAGCTTGAGGATGTGGACAGGATCCTTGGAGAGATGCGACCTACCACATGCATCCTAGACCCCTGCCCATCCTGGCTGATAAAGGAAGCCAGAGGGGGTTTGGCAGAGTGGGTGAAGGTGGTGGTTAATGCCTCCTTACAGGAAGGAAAGTTTCCAGCGAGCTTAAAAGAAGCTATCATAAAACCGCTGTTGAAGAAACCATCACTGGATCCCACTCAATTCGACAACTATCGGCCAGTTTCCAATCTCCCCTATTTGGGCAAGGTCATGGAACGTGTGGTGGCAACACAACTCCAGGGGTTTCTGGTAGACACTGATTATGTAGATCTGGCACAGTCTGGCTTTAGGCCGGGACATGGAACTGAGACAGCCTTGGTCGTCTTGGTAGATGATCTTCACCGGGAGCTTGACAGGGGGAGTGTGTCCCTGTTAGTTCTGCTGGACTTCTCAGCGGCCTTCGATACCATCGATCACGGTATCCTTCTGGGGCGCCACATGGACATGGGGCTTGGGGGCACTGCTCTGCGGTGGCTCCGATCCTTCCTTGAGGGACGGACCCAGAAGGTGTTACTGGGTGACACCTGTTCGGCCCCACAACCGTTGTTGTGTGGAGTCCCACAGGGTTCAATTCTGTCCCCGATGTTATTTAACATCTACATGAAGCCGCTGGGGGAGATCATCCGGACTTTCGGAATGAGATGTTATCTCTATGCAGATGATGTCCAAATCTGTCACTCCTTCCCACCTGATAGCCATGTATAAATATGTGAGAGGAAGCCACAGGGAGGAGGGAGCAAGCTTGTTTTCTGCTTCCTTGGAGACTAGGACGCGGAACAATGGCTTCAAACTACAAGAGAGGAGATTCCATCTGAACATTAGGAAGAACTTCCTGACTGTGAGAGGCGTTCAGCAGTGGAACTCTCTGCCCCAGGGGGAGTGTGGTGGAGGCTCCTTCTTTGGAAGCTTTTAAGCAGAGGCTGGATGGCCATCTGTCAGGGGTGATTTGAATGCAATATTCCTGCTTCTTGGCAGAATGGGGTTGGACTGGATGATGGCCCATGAGGTCTCTTCCAACTCTTTGATTCTATGTCACCAAGGAGGCTGTCCACACCTTGAACCGGTGCTTGGCTGCTGTGTCGGACTGGATGGGAGCTAACAAATTGAAATTGAATCCAGACAAGACAGAGGTCCTACTGGTCAGTCGTAAGGCCGAACAGGGCATAGGGTTACAGCCTGTGTTAGACGGGGTTACACTCCCCCTGAAGACGCAGGTTCGCAGCTTGGGAGTGATCCTGGACTCATCGCTGAACCTGGAACCCCAGGTCTTGGCCGTGGCCGGGAGAGCTTTTGCACAATTAAAACTTGTGCGCCAGCTGTGCCCGTACCTTGGGAAGTCAGATCTGGCCACAGTGGTCCACGCTCTTGTTACATCCCAGTTGGATTACTGCAACGCACTCTATGTAGGGTTGCCTTTGAAGACTGCTCGGAAACTCCAACTACTCCAGCGAGAGGCAGCCAGATTGCTCACCGGAGCGGCGTACAGGGAGCATACCACTCCCGTTATGTCAGCTCCACTGGCTGCCGATCCAATTCTGAGCACAATTCAAAGTGCTGGTTTTGACCTACAAAACCCTATACGGTTCCGGCCCAGTGTATCTGTCCGAACGGATCTCCCTCTACACCCCACCTCGGAGTTTAAGATCTTCTGGGGAGGCCCTGCTCTCGACCCCGCCTCTATCACAAGTGAGGCTGGCGGGGACGAGGAGCAGGGCCTTCTCGGTGGTGGCCCCTCACCTGTGGAACTCACTCCCCGGGGAGATTAGATCAGCGACTTCCCTTTTGTCATTCAGAAAAAAATTGAAGACCTGGATATGGGACCAAGCTTTTGGACATTCTGGCAGCTAAAGGAAAGACCTGATGATGAGCAGTAATTGACAAATCGGAATGGATATTGGAACTCTGAACACCGAGCATGAGATTGTCTACTATTATTTTATGTATTGATGATTTTAATCTGTTAATTGTCTAAATTGCTTTTATGTATGTTTGTATAATTGATATGGGCATCAAATTGTGCCTTCGTTTGTAAGCCGCCCTGAGTCCCCCCTCGGGGGTGAGAAGGACGGGGTAAAAGTGGCTGAAATAAATAATAAAATAAATAAGTGGAGAAGGTGGAAGTGGAGGAGGTGGAAGTGGAGGAGGTGGAAGAGGTGGTGGAGGAGGTGGTGGAGGAAGTGGTGGGGGTGGAAATGCAGGAGGAGGTGGAGAAGCTGGAGGAGGTGGTGGTGGAGGAAGTGTTGGAGGAGGTGGAGGAGTAGGAAGTAGTGGAGGAGGAGGTGGAGGAGAAGGAGGTGGAAGTGGAGGTGGAGGAGATCTCAATATAGAACCTCGTCGGGTGCTGGAAATCCTCCTGGTGGTTGTAAACCATTTCATATTTATAATGCACTTTAGCGGTCAGGTTTCATTATGATGTCAAATGTACTTGATGAGATTTTATTCTGCTTTTTAAGTAATTGTCTTAAAACGTGTTTCATTTATTTACTTTTGGTGAGTTATTACAATTTTGTATGGATGTCGTTGTAGTCATTGGCTTGATTGTTTCCATGAAAGGAGATTCCATCTGAACATGAGGAAGAACTTCCTGACTGTGAGAGCCGTTCAGCAGTGGAACTCTCTGCCCCGGAGTGAGTGTGGTGGAGGCTCCTTCTTTGGAAGCTTTTAAACAGAGGCTGGATGGCCATCTGTCAGGGGTGCTTTGAATGTAATCTTCCTGCTTTTTGGCAGAATGGGGTTGGACTGGATGATGGCCCAGGAGGTCTCTTCCAACTCTTTGATTCTATGGAATGTTTGCCACTTTTGTTTGGAAAAAGTGGCATACCGCCCTGAGTCCCCTTGGGGAGAGAGGGCGGGGTATAAGGAAAGAGGATGATGAGGATGATGATGATTCCCACCACTACAAAAAAAAAAAAAAGACTGTAACTCCTGGAATTTACCTTGAATTGCAGGAGTTACAGTTCACCCATCTCCAAAGAGCATTCTGAACCCAACCAATGGTGGATCTAGACCAGGCCTGGGCAATTTTTGGCTTTGGAAGGCCGGGCTAGGAAGGGGGATTGCTGGGCTCAGGCTGGGCAGGTTGGCCCAGGAGAGGGAGCGCGGGCAAGGAGGGGGCACAGTACATCCCCAGGGGGACATCATGGGGTTATCTACGGGCGATGGGCCAGAGGTGCCACTGCCTTGGTCCTTTCACTATTGGCTGCTGCTTCCCGGCAAAACTGCAAGTCACTTCTGGTGTGAAAGAATTGGCCATCTGCAAGGACGTTGCCCAGGGGACACCCGGATGTTTTGATGTTCTACCATCCTTGTGGGACTTGAAGTTTCTCAAGTTGCTCCAGACACACACAAACATTTCCCAGCAGTACAATACCGCCTAAACAGTATAATTTCTCCAGTGGAGTGGGGCGTAGGCATCGTGCGATAATGCGTCCTGTCTCACTCAGAGCCACACCCACTGTTTTAACGTGGTGAGATGTGTCCCACACTGGGCGTGCGTATTCAGCAGCAGAGTAGCCAAGCGCAAGGGCAGATGTCTCCACTGCGTCTGGTTGTGATCCCCAGGTTGTGAGCACCTCTTACTCTAGAGCGGAAACAGCAGGTGGCAAGTAAGAGGAACGGAAGCGCATGCTGGGATGGGGAGCCCCCTTCTCTCTAGAATGGTCCGCTTTCCAGCACAGAGTCCTGGTCACAGTGCCACAGCCTCTGGCCTTGAAAAGGAGCTCATCTCTTGGAAGCAACACTCTTGAGGTCTGACTTGGGGGTTTTATTCTTGATTTATTTGCTACTTATAACTATGTACAGGTCTTCTTTTAATATACAAAGATACTCTCAAACAGAATAAGTTCACACAACAAGGATCATGGTGGATTGCATATGCAGACAACAATGGCAAGGCCTTCTAACCAATGGCAGAGAAGGATGTGCACGTACAAGCCGCTCCCACCCTTCTCTCCAGATTCCGTCCCTGTGACGCCATCTTCTCTGTTGTCTTAATCCTTTAGATTATTGTGCTGTGAACACGTCTATTAAGAACTGTCTCATTACACACTGGAGGTAAGTGTCATGCATTCCTATCCATCTTTTTCCACACAACAGTCAGGGGGTCACTCCGGGGCAGAGAGTTCCACTGCTGAACAGCTCTCACCTCCCAGAAATCCTCACAACTGGTCAACTGGCTGGGAGTTCTGGGAGTTGTAGGCCACAACACCTGGGGAGAGACCCATAGGACGAGACCCACTGCTCTAAGCTAAACACACCCAGCTCTTTTCAGACATTCCCTACAGCCCGTCTCTGGAGATATTCTGGCTTGTCCATATCCGTCTTGAGTTGTGCTGCCGGGAACGGGAGACAGAGCGACTCCAGGTGAGGTCTGAGCAAAGCAGGAGAAAGGAGGCTGTGACTTCCTTGGACATAGACACCACGTCTCCTCTTGGCACAGCCTAGAACCACGCTGGTATTTGTGGCTGCCACTTCACACTCTGTTTTTTCAAAATAATTTTTATTCAAAGGCAAGAAAGAAAAGCATGTCTATACAAATTACAATATTGGGATTTTAAAAAAGGAATCCTTAACAAACGTGAAAGACTGAACAACACACACCCACATAATAAGAACTAAGAGAACAACGGATCAACACAACTCTTGCCGGACACTGATTTTTATCTGTATTTACTCATTTTAAATGTTGTTCTATATTCACTCTTCCGTTTCTAAATATAGTAAACCCATTCCTAAAACCCACAATAAACAAATGTCCCCTCATTGTTATAACTCGTGAATTATTAGTCGGTCAGAATCTCGTTTCATAGAATCCTAGGGTTGGGAGAGACCTCCTGGGCCATCATCCAGTCCAACCCCATTCTGCCAAGAAACAGGAAAATCGAATTCAAAGCACCCCCAACAGATGGCCATCCAGCCTGTTTGAAAGCTTCCAAAAAAGGAGTCTCCACCACACTCCCTCCGGGGCAGAGAGTTCCACTGCTGAACAGCTCTCACAGTCAGGAAGTTCTTCCTCATGTTCAGGTGGAATCTCCTGTCTTGTGGTTTGAAGCCATGGCTCCATTGTGTCCTAGTAGACAAAGTTGCTCCCTCCGTGATTTCCCAAAAATAAGACACTGTCTTATATTTCTTTTCCAAGAAGACACGCTATGGCTTATTTTCAGGGGATGTCTTATTTGTATATCCATGGCCAGGACTCCAGTGATCAGGTGGAGGAGGAGGAGGCGACCCAGGGCTTGGTTCCTCTTTGGATGAGACAGACAACGCCTTCCTCCCTTCCTGCCTCAGTCTTCCCCCCACTTTTCCCACCCCAGTCTTCCCCTTTTCTAGTTGCCCCCTTCCTATCCCATTCAGTCTTACTTTTTTCCAGCTACCCCCTTTCCACCTCACTTTCCCACTTTTTCAAACACTCCAACCATTCCAACTTTTTCCCGATTCCAGTCCTTCTTTCTCACCCCTTCCCAAATCAGTCTTTCCCACTTTTTATTATTCGTATACACATAGCATTTCCCCCAAAATGTATACTGTAGTTAAAATAAACTACGGCGATACTTTATCATTGTTGTATTTGTTATTGTTTATAATTTTATTCCATTATTATTACATTTCTTATTGTACTCTATTATCATTACATTTCTTTTACTCTGTTATTATTATTACATTTCTTATTTTACTCTATCGCTATTACTATTTATTTTGGTCTGTTAAAATTATTGTTTTTCTCTATTTATTATTATTACATTTATTATTTTATGCTATCATAGTTATTATTACACTTATTATTTTATGCTATCATTACATTTATTATTTTACCCTATTTATTATTATTAATACATTTAATATTTTACCTTATTTATTATTATTGGAAGGATACATAAGCACATTTACACTAAAGGAGGTTAGAGTAATGATTTAATCACAGTTGGACAGTCTTATCTTACAGTTTTATGCAATTATTCAGAAACATTTAACCTACTGATGCCTCAATTAACGTAATTTTATTGCTATCTATTTTTATTCTTGAAATTTACCAATAGCTGCTGCATTTCCCACCCTCAGCCTATACTCAAGTCAATAAGTTTTCTCAGCTTTTGTGCTAAATTACGTGCCTCGTCTTAAATTCAGTCGGCTTATACTCAAGTATATACGACATGTAGCTACTCCCCTGTGTGGGTTCTTTGATGGATACGCAGATGTCCACTATGACTGAAGCTCTTTCCACATTCCATGCATTGATGTGGCTTCTCCCCTGTATGGGTCCTTTGATGGGAATGGAGATGTCCACTGCGGCTGAAGCTCTTTCCACATTCCATGCATGTATGTGGTTTCTCCCCTGTATGGGTCCTTTGATGGGTACGCAGACTTGCACTCTGATTGAAGCTCTTTCCACATTTCATGCATTTATATGGCTTTTCCCCTGTGTGGGTTCTTTGATGGATACGCAGAGTCCCACTTTCACTGAAGCTCTTTCCACATTCCATGCATTTATGTGGCTTCTCCCCTGTGTGGGTCCTTTGATGGGTACGCAGATTTTCACACCGACTGAAGCTCTTTCCACATTCCATGCATTGATGTGGTTTCTTCCTTGTGTGGGTTCTTTGATGGATACGCAGAGTCCCACTTTCACTGAAGCTCTTTCCACATTCCATGCATTTATGTGGCTTCTCCCCTGTGTGCGTCCTTTGATGAGTACGCAGATGCCCACTCCGACTGAAGCTCTTTCCACATTCCATGCATTTATGTGGCTTCTCCCCTGTGTGGGTCCTTTGATGGGTACGCAGATTCCCACTCCGACTGAAGCTCTTTCCACATTCCATGCATTTATGTGGCTTCTCCCCTGTGTGGGTCTTTTGATGGGTACACAGATTCCCACGCCAACTGAAGCTCTTTCCACATTCCATGCATGTATGTGGCTTCTCCCCTGTGTGGATTCTTTGATGGATACGCAGATTCCCACTCTGACTGAAGCTCTTTCCACATTCCATGCATTTATGTGGCTTCTCCCCTGTGTGGGTCTTTTGATGGGTACACAGATTCCCATTCCAACTGAAGCTCTTTCCACATTCCATGCATTTATGTGGCTTCTCCCCTATGTGGGTTCTTTGATGGATACGCAGATTCCCACTTTCACTGAAGCTCTTTCCACATTCCATGCATGTATGTGGCTTCTCCCCTGTGTGGATTCTTTGATGGATACGCAGATTCCCACTCTGACTGAAGCTCTTTCCACATTCCATGCATTTATGTGGCTTCTCCCCTGTGTGGGTCCTTTGATGGGTACGCAGATTCGCACTGTCACTGAAGCACTTTCCACATTCCATGCATTTATGTGGCTTCTCTCCTGTGTGGACCCTTTGATGAATACACAGACTCACACTGTGACTGAAGCTTTTTCCACATTCAATGCATTTATGTGGCTTCTCCCCTGTGTGGGTTCTTTGATGGATACGTAGAGTCCCACTCTCACTGAAGCTCTTTCCACATAACATGCATGTATATGGCCTCTCTCCTGTGTGAGTTCGTTGATGTTTAGTAAGAGAACTTCTTGCAGTGAAACATTTCCCACAGTCCACACAATTATGTCGCTTCTCCCCTGTGTGTGCCTTTGACAAGGAATGGAGATTTTCCATTCTTTTACATTTATGATTCAAATATTATGCCAGAATGTCACAGATATGTTCTCCTGATTTTCTCTTCTCAGTCTTTGTATTGCTCTAGTCCGTTTGAATAAATAAATTACCAAGCCCCACTGTTTACAGCACAATCCTCCCTTTCCTCCTTGAATACACAGCTATGGAGCTTGAAATATAATTTCTCCAACTTATTTCTTGTTCTTGTGAGTGCTGTGTAATTTCATTCCTGAACTAAAATTAAGGGAAGTGTTCTTCTCAAGGTTCCTTCAGAGGTTACCTGCCAGAGAAACGAGAGGAAAATCTTATCAGGAGCAGAGCACAGAAATACCTCATTGAACAATAAGAACAATAGCTTAGTGCTGTAGCCAATGCAGGAGAAGAAGCGAGAAAGGGCGGTCCTACGGAGAAGAGCCTTGGCCTGCTGAGAAGTACGAGGGGTATTTTTAAAGTAAGGTCTGTTTTGTTGTAGACACTAGTAGTTTGCGCGCATACCGGAAGAAGCATGTGCATCGTGAACCGGCATGCCTCGGGAACAACTGTGCTCAGTTTCCGCTCTGTAGCTCACCTGTACAGTTTTGTTCTGTGCTTTAAAAATGCTTCAAAGATGGCCGCGACAACGTCCATGATGAGGACCGCTCCGGTCGCCCTTCTTTGATTACAGACGATTTGGTGGCTTTAGTTGAAGCGAGGATTCGTGAGAACAGGCGCTTCACAATAACAATAATAAAAGTCTTTGAATTGTCGTACCCACATGCATTTTGCTTTCACTCATCACAGTATCACCGTACACTTCACAAATCTGTCGATGAATTTCTGCAGCGGGCAGGTTCCTTGCTGACAAACACCGTATCACTGAGCGAACCTCACATGCGAAGCGTGGGTTGATAGTCTTAGACATTTTTAAAGCACAGAACAGAACCGTACAGGTAAGCTACAGAGCGGAAACTGAGCAGTTGTTCCCGAGGCATGCCGGTACACGACGCACGCGCTCGTTGCGGTATGCGCACAAACTACTAGTGCCTACAACAAAACGGACCTTACTTTAAAAATACCCCTCGTACTTTAACACTTACTCACCAAAGAACAAGCCCTGCAAAGGGGAGAGTGGCCCAAGTTTCCCTGTATGAGATTGTTTGCACTGCAGTGTGTTCAGAGTCTCATCCAATCTTCGTAAAGGAAGACTTCTAACAAAATGGTCAGCACAGGGTGCAAAGCGTTCCTGCCTAGATCCCGCTTCCTCACATCCCAACTCAGAACCTGAGTGACCACCTGTACGGGCAGACCATCCCAAGTGATTCATCTTGTGAGAAAAATACTTCATTTCTTCCAACTCAGGAAAAAATATGTTCCTGACCCTCTCTTTCCCGGCAGCGTGATCCCTGCCCCACGTTTTTAAAGCAAGGCACCTGGAGACACTGAGAGCACATTAGGCTGCAGAGCTCTTGACATATTGCATTCTTACAAAACCTATACCACAAAGGTGTGAAACATGACACAGAACAAATGCAAAGAGAAAAACAAAGCAAACTTCTACACCCAGACCACAAAAAGAGACAGAGATGTAGAAGCACAGGGTGGAAGGCACTCAGCCTAGCAGCAGTACACGAGAGAAGGGGTAGAGAGGAGATGGAAGGATGCTAAAGATGATGCTTCTGCTCTGGCTCAAGGGGCAGGAGGGAAGGCACCCAGGTCACCGCATCCACTACAGGCCCCTCTTCAGCCCTGGGAGCCCATTGGCAGGGGTTTCATGGAAGATCACCTGCCAGGTGAGCTGAGGCTGTCGTCTGGGTAGTGCCAGGCTTGTTTCCTAAGCAGGACATTGCATATCACGTGCTACCAGGGAAATGGTCCCCTAATTAACCAGAGAGTTTACTGATCACATTCACAAGCACCATTTTGATCAATGTTTTTAATGTTTATGTATACCCACATGAATTCTTGTCCCAGCATTGAATGTTTGCCGTATATATGCTTCGGGGTGAGAAGGGCGGAATATTAATGTTTTAATCATCCAGATTATTGGAGATCAGAGTATCCATCTGGTGTGCTCTGAGCTGGACCACATGAGCCTACACAATGCCATCTGATCCAGTGCAAGGCCGCTCGCCTGGGTTTCCTCTGGCAGTGCGGAAGTGGAGGGAGGCGCAGGCCCAGAGGGAAGCTGGTCAGGAAACACAACATACAAACGATCTCCAGACCCAGCAAGAAACTCCAACCAATGCTCCGTTCAGCAAGGACAAGAGGGACCCTCTCCCCTCTGCAGGAGTCAACCAGATACCATGCGGCTGTGGACAAGAGGTCTCCAGAGGGACCCCCAAACGCAGCAGCAGCATTTCCCAAACACGAATCCAGGAACATGAACGGGACGGCAGACGGATTCAACCAGAGAAGTCAGCCATAGCAGAGCACCCGATGGACCCACCTGGACACAGCATATGAATTGAGAAGACATAAATGCCGGACCACCCTCACAACCACCATGCCAGGCGACACAGAGAAGCCACTGAAATCCGCAAGAAGCATGTGGACAATGTCAACAGAAAGGAGGGAACCATGGAAATGAACAAAATCAAACTACCACTATTTAAAAAACCTCTAAAATTCTAACAGTCAATAAAAAACTAAACTGCAACACAGGGGAACTCCAGACAAGAAACAATGAGGGACAGCTAATCACCTCTCAACAAGGATTTCCCCCAGGGAGTAACAGGGCACCCTTAAAAACTGTCAGGCCATCAAATGCTAGTCAAGGTGGCCAATTGAATCATTCACACCTGCCTCCAACAGAGAAGAGTTCTCTCTCCCACCCGGGACATTATTCCACAGATATATAAACCCATTTTCCAGTTTCCAACAAATCTCCCAACCTCTGAGGATGCTTGCCATAGATGGAGGCGAAATGTCAGGAGAGAATGCTTCTAGAACATGACCATACGACCTGGAAACCCTACAACAACTTTCCCTGAGTCTCCTCCCAGGGTGAGAAGGGCGGCATATAAATGTGGCAAATCAATCAATCAATGTTTGTGGTATGGCTCAAGGGGGAGGAGGGAGGCCATTGCGTCCACTGCACCCACTACGGGCCCCTCTTTGGCCCCGGGAGACCCTTTGGGGGAGTTTCCTTGAGGGTCCCCTGCCAGTGGAGCTGAGACCGAGGCCAACCCAAAGCATCAAGCAGGGGCTTCCGCCACAGCCGCCTGGAGTCACCTTCGGACATGAGAAAGGCGGGGGAGAAATATCGTCAATCATAAACAAACACTTGCATTGCTTTATGAGAAACACTTTATGATGTTTTTATAATGTTTTGTACTGTTCATATCTAAGATGTATGTTGATGCTTTTGTTGTGAGCTGCCCCGAGTCCCTCTGCGGAGGTCGAGATGGGGCGGGATATCAATGCCCCAAATAAATAGACCAATGCTGCTGTAATTGCCAAGAAGAGGACTGGCTGGGCTGGCTTTGTTTTTGCTGCCATGGCTCAGAAGAGGCTTCTCACTGGTTCCAACTGTTTATATTTTAATAGCATCACTGTTTAATTTTAATGTGTGTGTGCTTTTGGTTTTCAGTGTGTTGCTTTGATTGGAAGCGGTTTCTGTCTCCTTTTAAGAGAGAGAAAGCGGGAGGGTGACTACAATGACCAAGGGTCGGGACAACAATCCCTAAAATCACAACAGCACAACAACAGAGAGGAAACAAACAAGGACATCTAATCACCTCTCAACAAAAGTTTGCTGTAGTCACTGTCGGGCCATTATATGCTAATCAAGGTGGTCAGTTGAAACATTCACCCCTAGCTCCAGCAGACAAGAGTCTTTTGTCTCACCCTGGTCATTCCTCAGATATATAAACCCCTTTTCCTAGTTCCAACAGACCTCACTACCTCTGAGGAACAATGGCTTCAAACTACAAGAGAGGAGATTCCATCTGAACATGAGGAAGAACTTCCTGATTGTGAGAGCCGTTCAGCAGTGGAACTCTCTGCCCCGGAGGGAGTGTGGTGGAGGCTCCTTCTTTGGAAGATTTTAAGCAGAGGCTGGATGGCCATCTGTCGGGGGTGATTTGAATGCAATATTCCTGCTTCTTGGCAGAATGGGGTTGGACTGGATGGCCCAGGAGGTCTCTTCCAACTCTAGGATTCTATGATTCTATGATGCTTGCCATAGATGCAGGCGAAACATCAGGAGAGAATGCCTCTAGAACATGGCATATAGCCCAAAAAAACCTACAACAACCCAATGGAGAAATGGCTTCAAAATACAGGAAGGGAAGGAGATTCCACCTGAACCTGAGGAAGAACTTCCTGAGTGCGAGGGAGAGCCCTTCAGCAGAGGATCTCTCTCAGGGTGTGGTGGAGGCTCCTTCTTTGAAGGCTTTGAAGCAAGGGCTGGCTGGCCATCTGTCCGGGGGGCTTTGAAGGAGATTTCCTGCTTCTTGGGTGAAAGGGGTTGGACTGGGTGATGGCCCAGGAGATCTCCTCCAACTTCTATGAATCTCTGGCTATCCCAAAGGAATTCCAGCCTGTGAAGGCCAGAGATGCAGGAGGGGAAACGGAGGCCAGAAGTCAAGAGGCAGGGCAGGGCTCTCTGGCTCTCCCAAAGGATCCGAGTCTCTTGTGGTCGGGTAAGGGAGCTGAAGGAGGAGGAGGAGGAGGAGGAGGAGGAGGAGGAGGAGGAGGAGGAGGCAAGAGCCGCAGGGCAGGGGCATCTCTGGCGGGGAAGGAGGAGGAAGGAGGGAAGGGAGGGAGGGCTGGTGAGTGTCTTGCTTGAGGCCCCTTCTACACTGCCACACCATCCAGGTTATTAGAGATCAGAGAATCCATCTTGTCTGCTATTTATGGCATTTCTATGCCGCCCTTCTCACCCCGAAGGGGACTCAGAGCGGCTTACAAGTTACACAGAAATACAATATATTATACTATTAGCATAGCACAATATCAGTATTATATATAATTATAATATCATTTTATTATATATTATACTAGCTGTCCTCTGGGTGGATCTTCATCTTGACTCTCGTGGCTTGTTCTTGGTCTTGCAGCTCTTCTGATGTCTGAGGT